AGTGGAAATACCACTTGCAGGGTACGTGCTCAAAGAAGCAAGTGGGAAGCCTGTGTCTTACTTACCAATACTTAGTTTTAGTTTGCTAAGGAGATGCAAATCTTGCACCCACTGCCCCCTTTTCCAGAAAATGTTTACACTTAATTCAGATATTTTTATGCTTAAGCATGAAAGAAAAACACAAGAATGTGGGCAATTGGAGAGTAACCATCAGTTTTTCAAATGAAGATATCTTTCTGATTTTGCAGTACAGTAGCCCTAGAAATGCGTGTTTCTGTGGGTTTTTTGATATTCCTAACTTCTTTAACATCGGGGAAACATCTACTGTTTTCTACGTCGGAAGATAAGAAGGATGTTTTAGGAATGATATTTGTCATCTTGAAGGAGCTTAGTAGTAATCTCAATCAGCTGATGGAATTAAGTGTTTAGGAGTCAACAAACTCCAAGAGCAAAGTTTTTAAACAGTAGCTGCAGTCCTTTCCCCTCTGTCCCAACTACTCGAAGCTGAACCAGTTCTTCGGACATCCTCAGTCAGAAGCCCTTTGCCTGAACCCTGCACACATCTTCCCAGCAAGTCTTGTGCTGCAGATGGCTTTTCCAGCTGGAGTTGGATCCTGGAACAACAATGGGAAGCCCCAGGCACTCGCCTGACTTTGGCCACTTCTGTGCAATCTGCATGTACCTTAATGACAGGCAGTAAATACACAGCAGGTGATGCTGTGAACTTGTCAGCACTGCACCAACTCCTGGAAGTATTCTAGAGGAACCCTCTAAATCCCCATTTAAATGAAAATACAGGGGGGTTGATGCCAGATTTCAGCTAAAACAAGACTGTCCAACCAGTGGTTCTGCAACTATTAATTACCTTGTCTCTGAACTACTTCTGCTGTTCCTGCGTGTGCCCTGAAGGAACAGCCCCATGAGCTATTGCCAAGTGCAGAGTGGCACAACTGGGCTTTGCAAGTATCTAAAATTAGCTCCTTTCCTGTAGGTCCTGAAAGGAGTCATGAACTCTGCTGTGACCCAAGATTGCAATGGGAAGCATTTTCCTTTAGCTGCACCTTATGAGCCATGAACATCATCCATGTTAGGAAACTGCAGCAAAAGTTGATGTGTGATGATAATTAGCATGTCTTTTGAGCAGTAGAAAATGTCTTACAAGCTCAAGGCAAAATAGGCCACTGGTTTTTACGAGATGCTTAAAACAACCACTGTTGAAGAACCATTCAATGCAAGCCTGGAGACCTTTGAAGTTTTTAGGCACTCCCAGTCCACTTAAATGTTCTTATTCACCTCAGTATTTCTCCATTCTCCTGTGTCCATGAGGAATCTGGCTTGCTCAGTCAGCCCCCACTTCAGTATATGTTGTGCAGAGCGTGTCTACGGTGTTTAAGAGGTAGTATTTGAAGCTGGGGTAATAAAACAAATACAGATTCAACTGAAGGCCATTTGCCCCAAACTTCTGACTCAAGAACAAGACTTTCCTCATCATAGTTACTGGGGGCTGATCATCCAAATGTTTACTATTAGTTTTTAGGCTGCAGGCCTTTAAGACAGTGCCTTCTCTTGCTCTTCATGTCACAGTATGTCTCTTCTATTGAATATTTCCATGCCTTTAGTCTGGTCTCTTACAGAATACATTTTTTTTTTCCTAGCTACAAGAGAAAGTGTTAGACTATTCACTACATCTTTGAGGAGCTGCTCTTACAGCAGTTAAGACAATGAGCATCAGACTTTATGTAGTTAGTGAGAGAATCTTTACCAACCAAACTGCCCCAGCCTGTTCTCAGCAGATCTGAGCCAGGCTCAGTTAAAGGAAGGTTTCATCACACCCAGTTCTCTACTAGGGTTTGTTCCTTGACCCTGTAGGTAAGACACATTGACATCTATAATTTTCATCTATACCTAGACACATGGATACTGTGGGGAGATAGGGACAGAATTCTAATAGCACCACTACTAGATCAGAGTGCCCATCCTTATGGAGTAATTCTTCATCCTCTAGCCCTGAAACATTTAGGGGAACCCTTTTAAAATATGATTACTGAATTAAGGGTAAGGACTGCTTAATTTATGCTTTTTTCCTCCTACTTCCAGTGGACACGGTGAGCCAGACTGTGCAGCAAGCAGCAGAACAGGCTAAGGATGCTGGTCAGAAAGGTACGGGAATGTTTGTGTTTATTTCAGTAATATCAAGGCAGTGAAACCCCAGATAGAGCCCCCAACCCTTCCTTGCTCTTTGTCCCACACCTGGTGGGAAAGGGAAAGCTATTGCAGTGATGCTACAGTTACCTTTGTTTTTCTCTTTGAAAAGCACTTGATGAAGTCTACAAAGTTGCTGAAACCGGAGAAAAAGCTGTAAAAAATGTAGCAAACCAAGCAACTTCGTGGGGAAAAAGCTTTGGACAATGAAGATAAAAATGTATCACCACTGAAATTTTTGTAAACAACTTTCTACTACATGTACTCTTAAATAAAGAAAATACTTATACTCTGCCTGGCTTGTGTGTATTCCTTTGGTTACACATGTTAAAACAAACAAACAAACAAAAAAATTTAAAATCACTGGTCTAGAAAGACTGGATTATTTCACAGAGCAGACAGCTAGAGTTGTGCCATGCTACTAATGCAAACTTTTTTTTTTTTTTTTTTTGGGTGGGGGTTAAGGGGATGGCTCAGAGTGGGCACCATGTAAAGTCAAGCACTTGAGAGCTGGTCTCTCCCATTCTGTCTCTGAGCCTAAATCACTTGTGTGTGTGTACAAGTCTCACCAGCTGAGCACCCAACAGCCCCCTCCAGACAAGGTAAGCACCTGTCTGCTTCCATGACTGTGTTCGTGCTTCTGGTCTTATCAGTAAAATCACAATTAGCTACTGTGTCGAGGAAGACTCAAGTGTGCTTAAGGTATATGTAACCACTGTACAACAGCACTCTGATACTCAAAACTAATTCCAGCTGCAGAATGCTGCCTTGCTGGCAGCAGAGTGCTCAGCTCCACTACGTGCTTAGTGCTGTCTGGTCATTGGTACAACTCCAACGACTCTAGAAAAGGCAAGGGAAGGATGAGCAATGCAGGTCACACAGTGGGGCACTGGAGGCATTCACAACATTCTGTCAAACACTGGACAGCAATCATACAGCAGCTGAAAGAATCAAAACTGAGCAGGTATGTTTAAAACATAACATGAACAAACCCAACTCATCAACAACCCAAAAAGCCCCCAAATAACAGAACAATCTGTATGCACATGAACTTAGAATCTGAAACTATGAACTTGTCAATTACTAATGGAGTAATTTAGAGGTTACTTACTTGGCATCTTGGAAACACAGCAAGAATTTCCATTGTTCTGATTACTGATGGCAACAGTTGCCACCAATGAAAAGAACTGAGTTCTTTTCTGGGATAGAACAATGATTGTTCTGCTTGCTCTTCTGCATAATAGAAATATTTTGCTTTTAGTGGTTTGCAAGGTGGCATGTAACCCTGAACACTGTAGTTGTCATCCTTCTGCAATTTACTGTAGCAAAGTACTTGCTGTGATGCTGTAACGCAAACTACCTACCTGTGCTGTATGAAGTGTGAATGAGAGCTTACAAACACCTGCTGTGGTGAGAATGCACTTTGTTCTCTGCTCAGAGCAGTTTCAAATCTGTGCTCAAACCTAACTTCAGGTACTGGTTGGCTCCCTGCCAAACAACCTGGCAAGTTTCTTGGTGAATGACAGGTAGCATGTAAGTGGTACTGCTTGTATTCAATTTTGTTAGCTGGCAGATAAGACTTGTGTGTGCGGGTGTACACACCTAACTGAAGTTACAGTTTTAGTAAAAAAACCCCCCAAATTTATAACATACATCCCAGAGATTGATTGCTTTTTTTCAGCTGTGTCTAGGGACTGGTAAAAGGCTAGAGCTGCTTTGCTTTTAAGCCTCTAAACCCACATTAACTCATAGCAACTGTAGCAAATTTTACCACTTTCTTCTTTCTGTTGTTGTTGTTGGTTCTGCAGAGGTCTGTGCTACAAAACATGACAAAGAACGTGCGACTCTTTTTCCTAACTGTCTGATCACATTAGGATTGAGGTCAACAATGTTCAGAACCAGTGTAGCCCTAATGTATGAGAACACTTCACAGCAGGCCATCACAAGTCTGGAATCAATGTGTTTGATTCTTGTGCTTAGCTTCAAGCAAAGGGCAAATCAGCAAATGTGTGGGCAAATCTTAAGTCAGACTCCAAGCATCGTCTCCTTGAGAATCTCCACTCTTTGATCAAAAGTATCCTAAGTTGTCCTTATACCAGCCCCTGGCTATGCTAAGATTCATGTCTCTGACGCCTGTTAACCAGAGGTCAGGAACCACTGCAATCAAGTTGGCTGAGGAGAGATCCAGTCAACCTTAAGGGCTCCTCTTTGGGATTGCTAAAATCATGCTAGGTGGGAGGTCTGCTTTTTTCACCTGGGAAAAGAAGCGTTAGTGTGTGTGTATACAAGACCAGAAGATGCAAATGAATTGGGGAATACAGGCATTGTGCAGGTTTTGGCTTTTTTTCCCTTCCAAGTTAGTAGGAGGTAGAAGATACCCCAGTTAGCTATCTATGCCAGCTTTCTGTGTGCTCCAGCACTGAAAGAGTCCCGTTTTTCAAGTCTGCACAGCCAAACTAGTGGTGCTTTACTATCTGTAGAGGAAATGAAACAGGAGGGAGAACAACAGTACACATTTTGCTTTTAACAAATTTGCTGTCAGGTAATGCAACACTGCTTTTAAGATGATTTCTCTTTTTAATAATACAACTGTTTATTTGTGAGGTTTCTAGCCTCCAAGTTTTGGGTACAGTTTGTCAGAGTTGAATTGCTAAAATACTTGTTTTGTTTTACTATATAATAAATGTTAATGTAAAAACTGCACTGAAAAATATGATCCAGGATATAGATCTTGTATTTAGAGATCCACACCTCGATCATAATAATTCTCTCAAGCTCAAAGGGTACTCATTTTTTAAATGATGTCAGTATATGTGTGTGTGTGTATATATATATATATATATATGCTGCACTTAGGTGATCTGTAGTACTTTTATAAAACTAGACATTAGTATATATGATGGAGCAAGCCACTAATCAAATGCAACACGCAGGTTTATTCCTCCATGCTAACTACCCAAATAGTTCTTCACACAAATTTGAGAAGACACAGTAAAAAGATCTGAAATTATTTACCAAATATATCCAATTTTAAAAGTCTTGCTAATAGGCAAGTTCAAGAGAAGTATTAGTGAGCCCCTTAAGAAAACTAAGGGGCAGCATTTTAGCAGTGGGCATGTATTAGACAAGTGTGCTGTGAAGATTTTCAGATTGATTGTAACTACAGAAAGCTACTGCATGAAATAGAAAACAGTAATACACCAGCATAGTAGGTTTGGAAAGGTCAACTTTTTTTAATAACTGCTCTCTCTCCAGGTTATGTCATGCAGTTACAAAGTAGTTAGGAAAAAAGCATGAGTTTCTGGGAGGGACTAGTTGTCTTTTTAAAAAAAACATTCATATTCATTACATAAATAACATCTGGCACTTCAAGGGGACTCCATGGGACAAAAGCCTTATGCTTCAAAAACTGTGCTTGATCCACAATATTTGGTTGAGGTCCATTTTGTTGTACTCCAGGATGTTCAAAATTTTCACGACCTCCTTATCACCAAAAAAAAAAAAGGCCGTGTGTGTTAAGACAGTGGATTAAGTTTACAGCAGCATCTTAGCTCCTCTGTGGTTTGGCCAATGATTTCTGGGTTCAGTTTCACTTCAGTTGTTCATTGAGGCAGTATCTAATTTTCAGAAAGCCTCTGAAAGGAAAGACTGAAAAAGAATTCCAAAAAAACCTAAGTATGATTGCTTACCAAATTCAGAATATCCCTTTTTTTAAAAAAAGGAAACGACCTATAGTCAGAATAATTATGTAGATACTCGATTAAAAACTTAACTAGAGTTGCTTGATAGTTTCAGCTTATAAAAATATTAGTCTGTCAGCGCTACATACTTCATGATGACAGTCAAACTAGCTTGAACAAGTGATAAAAGGCAGTCCTGTAACAGCAGCACAGTAAAAGAAAAAATATTGCCTAAAGAGAATCAGGCCTGAAGCTTTACTACAAACAAAAACTAGACTCCTATCAAAGTTAATCCCTGCTGGAGGCCCGTTCTTCCTTTGACAATGCCACAGCATTGATCATACAAGGCCTTACTGAAAGTGCTGAAGCCAAAATTACGTCATTAAACAAAAGTGCATGAAGTAATAATGAGCTAAGTGCTCATATAGTACAGTATCTGATCTGAAGTCTGAGAAGTGGCTCAGGTGGCAAGACCACTCTTTCATATATAAAATGTACCATTTTGTTTTGTAGGCGAAATACCCAGAATGGCCCCCACAAGTGCAGATGAACTGTTATCTTCAGATACATACTTGTATACAATTTCCTAATCCATGGATTTTTATTGTAAAAAAGACTAGTTTGGAACTGAAACTAATTGAGAATAGAATCCACTATAATGTCAGAAGAAAAAATTTTGTGGTTACATGTAAACTTGTGATAAGCTTTCTCAAGAAGAGGGTACATTAACAGCGAGAGGGGTGGGATACAACAAGGAGCGGTCATGGCCTGTTTATGTAAAGGTCAAACCAGCCTCATTGTACACTTTGAAGACTTTCTCAATTGCATTGACATAGGCAGCTGTTCTCAGGTCCAGACCCAGGTTGTATGTCATGGCAGTACGCATGATTTGCTGAAACAGAAAAGGTTACATGTTATTTCTGCGAGTTTCTCCCTAGGAGCTGAACAATTTTGCTTGCAGGATCCCAGTTAGGAGTAAAAGGAGCTGCTAGATTGGTATCAGAGCTCTGATTCTTTGTGGATCAATCATAAAATGTCTTGATTCCCCTTATAACTGAGAACTGAAAGGGAAGAAAATCTTTCCCATGTTACTATATTAGCCCTTTTCAAGTCTTAGACTGATATGTACCTCACGTACTTGAAACATCTTATCTCTCGCTGTAGGTTTTGTCCCATTAATTAAAAACACAGCATAGAGGGGTTAATCTAAAACTGCTAATGGTAAAGTAAAGCACTCTTATGTATGTGTTCCAGATTAGCCAGGTACAGGAAGACAACTGAAAAGTTTTTAATTGCTATAGTTTCTACCAGAAAATACTTCTTCATTTCCTGTATTAATCTCTAATGTTTACTATAACCAGTTAATGGTGGCCATAATGGCACAGAGTAGAAGTACTTCATACTCGTGGTAACTCCCATTATCATGTATTGTCTATCTATTCCTTTAATTGCAGAGAAATTCTGTACAACCTATTCAAAAACTGTCCCAAAGTCACGTGAGTTTTCTCTCATATGAGTCTATACAGTAATGCAATATTTACCCGGGCAGAACGCTCCATTGTATAAGCCAACCCAGAGTGGACAATGTCTTTCTCAGATGCACCCTGCAACAACAGGGAATAAAATCAGGGTTTAATCCAAAACATAAAGGGATTAGGGACAATGACAAAACACAAAGGTGCGTTAGGGACAATGACATGTTGGATTCCCTTAATTACTGAAGCTTTCTCACTCCTTCTAAAGATAGGTGAAGAATCTAAATCACCTTTACTGTGTTACTTGAAGAGCTAGTTATGGCCAATTCAATTCTAAAACCTCAAATGTAAGCACTGAAGTCTTTTATAGCTTCTAGATGCACGATGCATTTTTTTTATTGATGTTGTAACTACTGTTTCAGCCTTCAGAATGCACAGTAAATATTAAACAAAAAAGCTCCCAAGAGTCAATAACCTATACAAGCTTCTTGCAATTGCTTTGAAGACAGGTTTTAGGAAGGGCATAAATCCCAAATTTGTACTCTCCACATTGTATTAGCCCTGAGCAACTCCAAAACAACTTTGTTCCCATTAAAATTTAAATACACAGAGCAGTAAGTAGTTGTAGCCTGCCTGAATTAGGATGACTCAGTATCAGCTTCAATGTTGCATTGTCCTGATTGCTGTTATTTACTAATGATTTGACAGGTACATATACAAAATACACACTTTCCCTCAAATACCTATTTGAGCTAGAAGTGGAAAATACTAGGCCAGTTTCTATAGCTTGTGTTTGAAATCCAGCAATTGCTTTAAGCCACAGAACCATCAGGAATGCTATCCATAAAATCTAACGTGTATGAAAATCATGTGTCATCATCATACTGGATCAGGCTAAAATCTATTTCCATCACCTGACAGTAGTCCAAGTCCACATGCATTTCCCCTGATTTCTTCCCAAGGAAGCATGGTTTAATGTTTTTCACAACTCACTGGACTGCTATACCCCCTCCTTTGTTCCACCTCCTCCTGAACCTGTGTTTGAAAACAAGCTGACTGATGCTTTCAGTTTCCATGTATCTCTTGGCAGAACAGTCTGCTGTGCTAGGAACCATCCCCTTATTCTTCATTCTGTGCCTCACTGTGCTGGTTCTGTGTGAACCATTCCCTATGGTGAACTATATACCCTCACCTGCCTATCTTCACACCACTCATTCTATAGATGACTGTCTCCACCCCCTGACCAGTTCAGGCCAGTAAGACCAAGGTTAGCTCATTGTTCCATGTATGAGAAGCTTCCATACTTTTGGTTACTCCTGTCATCTTGCTCTGAACTTTTCCCACATCTATAATATTTGAGGATGCAGAGACCCAACCTGCACACAGTATTTAGAAGGCAGACACAGTGGATTTATACGGTGGCATCACTAATCAGTCTTGTATTTTCACTTCAGAATAATTTCTAATGCTAGATTTGCTTTTTGATTGCTATAGATTTCTAAGCTTATATTTTGTCATCACCTCCAAAACTTCCATTTGAATGCAAATGGATGAACTCACAACCCATCATTTTATATGGAAATTTCCCCACCATGTATTGCTACACATTAGATAACAATGAATTTTACCTGACATTTCTTTGCCTGTTAATTCAGTCTTAAAGGAACATTCTACAACTTTTCACCCAGCTCTTAATCTGGAGTGACAGAAAAAAATGTATCAAACTGTCTGTGTTGTGGGATCTTGTTGAAAGTTTTTTGGAAATCCAGGCAAATTATATGAACAAGATCTCCAAAATACAAAATGCAACTGTATTAAACCTGTAGCTTTTTTACAATATTAGAGGCATTTTGCACAGGCTCGAGTAAAAGAAAGAAAAAATAGCTTATTTCCAGTATTCTTAAGCAGATCAGATCATTTGCTTGCCTTATTTATTTGACCATCAGCCTAACTACGTGTTAATGCCTTGCTTGAGGAAAAATGCTCCATGGTAGCTACAATGGTAAAATTTAGATTGCAGTTATAATATCAGGATAAACCTACCTTAACAGTAAAAAAACCAGCAGCAGCTACTTACCGATATCCTATCCTGAAATTCTGCTGTAGGCACAACTGGAATAGTTCCCCCATGTTTCCCGAATTTTCTTTCCAAGCTTTCCTGGACAGACACTAGAAAGGAAAAAAAATAGATGCAAGGTAAGAGACAAGGAGAGGAATGTGCTCCCTAACAAAGGTGGCAAGGCCAAGACTTCCAGCACTCAGTGGCATGAAATGCAGGCTATAGGGGCTGTGGGTAAAGGAAGTCATCTTACTTTGTTTTTCTAAAAAAAGGGAAAGATACTGATTTTTTTTTCTGTTTTTATATGTGAATGAATTCAGGATTACTATAGTACAGTCGCAGGGCAATGAACTCCATTTACTGATTTTACTAATCTTATCAAACTGATAGAGTAATCTGGATTAGTTTTCCTAACTTGATAGATAGTATTAGACAAACTATTTTTTGAAGTTAAAGCAATCAATTATCCCATATTGCACTTGGAATATACAGTAATTGCTAAGAAAAAAGCCCATGTGGAATTTTAGGTTTTTCCCCTTAGGGATTTCCCCTTTGGTATTTTCATTGATATTTATTTCATCTTAATTCCTGAAATTCCTAAACCAACATCACAGAGTATTTGAGATAAGACAATCTGGAAGCTAAGGAAGGGATTTAAATGAGAATTTCTGTAACTCTCAACTACTTTAGAAACACCTTGAAAAGTATGATTTATGAGAAAAGGTTATATTTAAAATCATGCATGTATGTTTTGTGAAGTCCTCTGGTTCAAGATTTTCACATTTTCTACAGAATATTGCTTAAAATGGAGCAACATCCGCCAGTGCTTCTCCATTAAGCTTCCTCTCTCTCTGCAATTAGTATTCTTTCCCAGAAACTAGGTAGCACAGAATGACCATAAGTGGAGTTGTAGGCCATAAGCAGATTTTTACAGTGCCTGCACCAATTATATCACTGTCCTTTACAGAAATCCTCTATTGTTGTATGTGCAGAACAACATTACCCACTCAAACTGAACACTTCTCAAACACCAAGTATACAGCTGAAGGATGTTTATTAAGAAGTAATAAATATTTCACATAAGTACCTTGACTTCAGTATTTTCACAAAACTGAGGGAAGAATAAAAAGATAACTGAAAAACTATGCATTTAACTTGGGCCATCAGAGTTGCAAGTCAGTAAACCCCTAAGACCTTCTCTATTCTTTAGTATGAAGTAGTTATAGACTTGTAGGGAAACTGTGGTGAATTTTAGTTAGTTCTGTATTTATTTGTCCTACATTTGGTGTTTGCTAGTCCAATCTATTGATTAAACAGTGTGTGGAAGTGGAACTGAGCACTTACTGAGCAAGTGGTAGTTTGAATCCCTTTCATATTTGAAAGTCAAACGGCCATAACTGACGTGGTTCAAGTTTTTCAGCCATTCAAAATAAGATACTGTTACACCACCAGCGTTCAGGTAAAGATCCTGCACAGAAATAGCAAATATTTTGAGTTGTGACCATGTGACAAAGGCAGCTCTATGGTATTATGCAAAAGTAAGCAGAACTATTATGTACAAAGCACTAGTTTAAACTGCAGTACAGAAGACAATTCATTTCTTACTCTTATAGGACAACACTTATCCTCTTCTGCAATCCAGGCATTACTTCTACTGATTTAAAGAGGACTTGACTTAAGAACACATGAAGTTCAGGTGTGCTTGACTGACTACCTCTATTTTAGCAAAAGTGTTAAATCAAAAAAATTAGGGCATCCTTAGGCCATCTCAGTGAGTAAAGGCTGAAGATCAGCCACTCTGTCTAGCAATATCACTTATCAGGACACCCTTTCTTTAAGAAAAAATTGTCATTATACCTGGCTGGGTCTTATTCTTTCAAAGAGACAACATTTACTCTGTACAATCTGCAGTATCACCCAGATACACAATGTCTACAAACAAACTGGCCAGTATATTGCAGTGAGATCTTTAATAAATATTGCCTTTCTTAAGCAACATTGACACCCATTTCCCAGACATCTGTTATTAAAAAAACACTCTTAGAGAATGAATGGCTATTAATAAAAGCCTTCAATAAATAATGTCTTCTTACAGTTCACAAAAATGTTATTTTTGTAATGAAATCAAAGGTCATAATAAAACCTTACAGGGATAACCATAATATTCCGCTCCAAGAAGATTTTGTCAGCTTCAGGAGTCGTAGGCCCATTGGCACCTTCAGCAATAATCTGAAAGAAATCACAGCAGAGCAGCTCAGAGGTATATATTTGGTTTTGTTCATGCTAATTATCAAATAATAGTATTTAGACAGACCTTCCCTATTTTTCATTTACATTTGAACTCTTTAGACTTACTTTTGCTTTAACCTTGTGAGCGTTGGCCTTAGTCAACTGTTTCTCGCTGGCAGCAGGGATGAGAATGTCACAGTCTGTTTCCAGAATACTGCCCTCGAGTGGCTTTGCTTTAGGGAAGCCCATGATTGTCCCGTGTTGCTGTGCAAAGAAAACAAACCAGGGTGTTTTGAGTGTGTGAGTACTTGTATGAATTCCTTCCCTTCCTCTGGCTTCCATAATAGAAAAAAAAAAAAAGGCAACAGTACTAGAAAGACAGCATATAACATAATTCCTATCTTTACTTAGATTAGATATAAAAGGCAAGATACAAAGCTCAAATAACAGTCAAAGTTCCCAAGACAGGGATTGAGGCATAACTGCTCTCTGGCCAAAGACACTGATAATCATTTGGGCTCTGGAGTATTAAAAAAAAGGTCCCTCTCAGCCCTTAAAATAGTTTTCAAACAACTGAAATGACTCACTAGAGTGCTACACGTAGGCTAAGCTGCATCACATAAGATTCAGAAGTACTATTTTAAAGTGCTACAATGATAGCTTTTGCTTAGTGACAAAGCTTTTCATTCTTCTGAGAAAGGGAGTGATAAAAACATTTGAATACTCCCTATCTAAAAGAAGAAACATCAAATAAGGCTCTTAGAAACTTCAAGTAGAAGACTGCACTTTAGTGCCTGTCCCCTCAAGTCTGCTTCACTTGGAAATAAAAAGACCATATCCAGTTGTCATTATAAACTACACATTCAAGTCACACTGCAAGACAGGTTTTCATTCTTTCAGAAACACTCAATAGTTAAGAAGCAGCAAAAGTGTAGGTCTTTAAATGACCACATGCTTGTGACTCTCAGTCAGGAATCCTTCAGGAACCTCCCTCCCCTGGTTCCTTAAGACATCTTTCCTAGTTTAGGCATAAGAAAAGCAAAAATAATACTGAAGTAATTAGCCTGCACACATGCAGGCATTCTTCTGAGAGTCAGGTCAAAGCATAAATAAGGAGAAAGGTCAGAAGAGTCAACATTTCTAAGCCATTTTGTAAGGACTAATTGCAGCATGATTTAAATATCAAATTAACACCAGTCTACAGTGTCATCCTATGTACTTGCAAAGCTGACAAAAATAAAACACTTTCTTCTTAGATAAGCTTCATACCAATTTGAAATCTTCTAGTTCCTTTGGGTCAATCCCATCAGGATTCCAGATAGAACCGTTAAATTCTCCGACAGCGACGCATTTTGCTCCATAACGATGCAAGTATCTCATAGAATGCAAGCCCACATTACCAAATCCCTGAAAGGGAAAAGGGAAAGTAGTGGAAAGGGGAAAGTAGTTAACCCTTCAGCTAAAATGATGATTATTATTGTTAAGGTTTATACAGTTTTGAATAGTTTTAAATAGTCCTTAATCTACTGGCACATCTTGGCATTAGATGATACAGATAGGAATGATGGAAGAAATTTACATGCATTCTATTCTTGTCTGAATACCACTGCAGAAATTATGTATTGTAGCCAGCAATAAAGTTGTGCTAAGTTTTTTATACTGGAAATATAGAACTAATGCTACTATGAAAGTGTCAAAACTATGATATTTATCAATATAGGAGCACTGTGCGTATTTTATAACTGGCACTGTCTTAAAGGGATTAGTAGATTCTTGTATGGCTATTCACAGGTTTGACTAACGTTTGCAGGACAGGAAATATTCTCATTTAATTTGGGTAAAGAAGGTTTACAAGTGTAAAACCATCCCACAGTGGAAAGTATTCAACAAAAGAATATAATTAGTTCTTCACACTGAACTTGCAAACTAGTAGGAAGCTATGTAATTTCTAACACATTCTGAAGTGGCCCTGTACAAAACAGACTCTCTAAATTTAAATTTAGATAATCTCGTATTTCATTATCATGCTTTACATCCTTACATGTGTAGAAAACATAATTCCAGGCCATTATGCTCCTTTCCTTCCAGAATGCTGACATTCTGGAAGTAAAGGAACACATATAGCAGACCAAAAAGTCACATGATCAATGTCAAAAGTTTGTAGTACAATTCTGTGCTGAAAAAATAAGCTGAAAACTAAAGTCCTGTCTAATGTAGCTCTAATTATATTTAGGATTTTTGTTTATGCATTAGAAGCAAACTTTGATACAAAAGTCTGTCATGCATGAGGTCTCTTCCAAATGCTTTATGCCTGTTTTCCTACAAGAATTTTCAGCTATTCTTGTGGCCATGTTTTCAGCCTAAGTATGCTGAAGTGCCTGTTGGTTAGTCCTCTGCCAGGCATGAAAATGCCAAAGTGCAGGGAGATGAGTGTGCTGCAGGGTCCATGCAGGGCAGGGATGTTTGTTCCAGCCTACAGGTTAACTAGAGGACAACCTGGAGGTTACAATTACTCTGCTATTTCTAACAACCAAGCAAATCAGTGCCTCAAATCCTCCATTTAAGATACTGTTTAAAGCTGAACAAGTTATTTCTTTGAAATTTTAGGAATGATAATACATATTACTGACTATCAAACCCCTTCAAAACTGAGCTACCTAAATCCTCAAGTCTTATGAACACCAAAAATGTGCATTCAACCTACAAATTTAGGATAAGGTATTGGTTTCCTATTTTTCCCACTGCCCATTCCATAGTGAAACAAGAACATAACTATCAATTCCTTCTCTCCCTGAATTTTTTATCATAAAACATTGCCACAAATTTTGCATAGGCAGAAACAGTGTCACAGCTCACTGAAAAGTGTGCAATGCCTTAAAGAACTCCTGTAATAGTATTTAATTTCGGTGTTTGCAGCCTATGTTCATAAAGACTAGAGACTTGGCTTTGAGCCTGTAGGGTGCAATTGAAAGTTCAGTTTTTAAAAAACAGTCCAAAATAAAGGGCACCTGTGTTGCCTGAAAAGTGTTTCTGAAGTTTGAGACTAAGGGTGAACTCACAAGTTTTAAAACCCTAACAGGTTTTAAGGGCTACCGCTCTTTTTAAAAGCAGCTCTACTGAAAGTCTCTTTACTACTTTTTCCCTATGGTCAAAGGAAAAAATTTACCTGAACAGCAAATGTTTTATCTCCAAATCCAGGAGTCATTCCTAATAAACTCATATATGATGCTTCATTGATGAAATTTTCAATTCCATGGAAGACACCACGACCAGTTGCAGATATACGTCCATGGATCCCACCCTGGCTGATGGGTTTACCAGTTACACATGCGTGGGCATTAATATCCTGTAAAACAGTGAAGGACTTGTGAGATAGGGAATTAATCAATCAAACAGATGGACCAAGAAGTTCTAGCTAGAGATAAGGGAAAACTGAAATCATAAGGGTCAGAATCTGGTACAGCTTATATACATTTATTTGTAAAGATTATTTCCTTCCTCACTGTGTGTGAACACCTTGGAAGTACTGCAGTAAATGTCAGGGAAGTTGTGTAATGCAATACTGGATATGGCCTGTAATTTTTTATTGTCTTTAAGTGTGTATGTTAGCCTCACTCTGTGTTTAGTTAATCACGGTGACATCCACATTGTACTGTTAGCAACGAGCACGCTTTTGACAAATCAAAAGCTGTGAGTGATGTTTCTCAAAATCAGCTCCTATTACAGTCACAATTTTCATCATTATTCTTGAAGTGTTAATCTTTTCAAGGGCTCAGACATATCCCTGGACTGGTTTTTAATCACCTTTAAACAGTGTTTAGTGTTCCTTTATATCAAATTCAGTTAATTTGAAAGGACAGGACAGACCTAATATGTTCTCATTGTCAGAATAAAGGGCTGTTTGATCTCAGAGAAAAATCTGTAGTATGAAGGTCATATGGCAAAAGTTAGATAAGTAGATTACTTTTATTCAGAAAAGCAATATATACAATCAAGCCTCTTTTCTTAATTTGGGGGCAATAAAATTAAGTTTTCCATATGCCAGATTGTTAGACAAGAAAAAATCACTATTTAAAACCAGAATTAATTTTTCCAACTGAAATTAATAATTTGAAAAAAACACTTCCAAACTAGACACTGGACCTCCCTCTTCTGTCAGCACTGGTTCTCATGCTCCCACACCCTGGGAGCACAGTCACACGGTGGCTTGGCTTCCAACACAAGTGAAAGAGTAGGGATGAAAGAGAATCCACTGAAATGAGTTTGCCAGCAGCCGGATGGGTTTCCATTCCACCAGCCACATATTCCCTGGGAGGCTCCCTCCTCTCTGTCACTGTGCCAAAAGCATTTGCATGCCTGTGGCGTGAGTGCAAGATGCTTGGTGAGAGGAAGGAAAGGAGCAGACAAAAGTAAGTGGAGACAGAATGACTGGCGATGACTAGAGCCATAAAAAAAACTAAAACTTTTTGTTTGAAAACGATAGTGAGGTAACCTATAAAGGCAAAGGTAACTCTTCTTTAAGAATAAAAGTGATCCTGGGCTTGCCACAAAATTCCTAATTCGGTTTCCCAAAATATAGCTGCGCTGCTGTCCATAAGCTGTCTGCTCCCTCTGGTGGCCTATCAACTGTAACCAAGATCAGCAGGGGTGTTTTGCTAGGAACAACTTGGCCTGGCATTTTGATGGACTTTTAGGGTTTTATTCTGTTTCAGATTGAAACTAAGTCTTAGGTTTTGTGCATTCACAAAGGAGGATGTCTGTTTTATAAATATTTGAAGAAATACAGCCTCCCACCCTACATAAGAATGTATTTATTAAAGTCCCTTTGTGTGTCCCAAAAGCCAGTTGATTGTGTCAGGAAGTACAGAAGAGAGGAAAAGATTAATTTAACTAAAAACTTTAGCCATATATAATTCAGTGATCCAGCAACTTCAGATGGATTTTCTGGAACAGTTAACATGGTAGTTATTAACGACTTGTATGGTTTAGCAAGAAAATAGAGCACGAGATGAGCACAGGTCCAGATCTTCTTAAAGTCACATATACAAACCACAGTTGACGTCAAAGTCCTAAAAACTTTGATTTTAGGTCAATAAGCAAACACATTTAATGCGTCTTGGGCCAAAAAGAAATGGCGTGGCTTTTAACGAGAACCTTTGAAATTGGTTTATGGCTAGTATTAAAGACTTCTATATCAGCACTGGTAGTTTACGAGCTTAGTTGGCAATGTTCAGACACTAACTTTTGTTCCTTTCTCCTTGTCTCTCCAGCTTGCTGGTTCTCTTGCTGGGTTTCAAGCAGACTTTCCCTATCTGTTTGTATCTGTTGACTTATCCTTTCCACTTCAACCTCCCTGAACACAGCTGTGTGCAAGCACACTGACTCATCAGGTCTGTAGATTTCTCAGACAGATTCCTCTCTCCGAAGTTATTTTTCCACTCAACTCTTAGTAGTCTCTTGCATAGCTTCTATCTCTCTTCAGAATTATGGCTAGTTACACTTTTGTTCAATGCTCATTTTCTGCTCTTAGTTCTCTTCCCTTCTTCCCCCATGGCCACTTCTATCTCTTTAGTATTCCTAAATCACCTTTATTTGTGCTCTTGCTGTCTCAAGCAGATAGCTATCTGCTTTCTCTACAAACTGGTTTTGATGGATTATTCCCCTTTTTATAACACTGTCAGAATTGTCACTTTCCTTCTCCACACCTGGTCATTCTCCACAATAGCTCTGAAGTTCCACTATGGTTACCATTCTCTCTTGCATGTACAAACAACCAACCCAACAAAATTAAGTTTCAATTCTTTAATGAACTACTCAGAAAAATGTTCCTAAATCCTCTCAGTTTTTTTTATTTTTCAATAAGGTACTGCCATGCAGAGAACTAGGAATAAAAGAAGCTGTTGTAGCATAATGCAAATTCTATTTTTATCCTCAGTAGTTATTTTATTTTGACACTGAATCGTGAGTATGTGTAGGATTACACAACAAGGTGAGATGACAAAGTGGAAACAGTAAGAAATTCAGCCATTTCAAAACCTCTCCTCTATCAGTGTTTAGTTTTCCAACTATCAAAAAAATGAAGCTTTTGTATAAAACTGTATGAGAACTCAACTAATACAGCAGATCTTAAAACAGGTCATGTGCTGTGAGCCTTCTGCATCAGCTGTAATAATACAACGCTGTTGTATCACAGTGAAATATGCATTTTAGTGCAATGAGTTAAATGTTAAAATGCTTTGAGGTAGTAGCTTTGGTAAATGCTGGAATTTTAAGTTATGACTGAGGGAACTAGTTGCCACTCCGCATGTTGAAGTCCTTTTGAAGTCATAATTTTGGGGGTTTATCAGGTTTCAAGTTTTAATTAAAAAATTTACATATGTGAATAGCAAAAAGCAAGTAATGTTTTACAGTGGCATCCCTATCTAACAGGCAGCTCTGTGTAAAAGTGATTTAACTCAGTCCCTACGCCACAGCTGATTCCTCAAGCATTCCTTTTTTCCTCCCATAAGATACCTTAGATTCTATTTTAGATGTAGAATAACCTGTGCCACTCCATCCTCCTGTTAAGGGATCAGACAAGTATTCTGCCTGGAGACTGTCTCATGAAAGCTGGGCACATCTTGAACAGACATACCAGAGGGAAATACATGTTGGGTGGCTCTAATGCCTTACCACTGGAGGCAGACACCTTGCTGTATTTAGGGAAAACTGTTGGAAGGCACTGTAGAATGTACAAAGAACGAGTCTTTTCATTTCAAAAGGAGCTGGGATAGGCAAACATGCAATAGATTAACATATCAATACACAGCTACGAAGAAATAAGCTGTTCGTAATACGTTTTTCTCTCATCCAACCTGTCAAAATTATACAACAAGTGTTTGGTCAACAGTCAGGTGCAAATAACCCCACCAACATAAGGGCAAATGGCAAAGTAAGGGCTAAGATTAAAAACTAATTTTTAAAAATTTTAATTCATGTTATTGGCTCCTGGGCAACATATTCTATCAGTGGAGAATTTGCTGAAGTCTACAATGATTACTTGTTACTTCTAGGGGGACTGCAGAGAACCTTACAACAATTGAGTGAACTTAATTTACACAGTCTCTTGAACAAATAAAAACACAAGCATTTATGTCATAAAACTTGCAAATTCTGTTATCTGAAATTGAAAGATTTCAATTCTGCAGATTATACAAGCTATTCTGAACTAATTGTTTAACAATTTTAATAATTATAGTACTAATGAAAAATAGAGGGAAATAGTAGTAATAGAAACCTGTTTTAGACCTACTGTACCTTTAAAAACTGTGTATTTTTTTTTGCTGAACACTTGCAATCAGTATTGAATCAAACAAACTTTTTTGAAGGCTAGTGTAAAAACATTAACCTTAAAGCTATTTTTCCTTAACAGTACCCTAAAAACCTCACACCAATTATGTTGTCACAGTTTGCAAGAATATATTTAGATCACATAATGAAACAAAATCACATGATTAAGCATTTTTCTACTTCAAAGCCTCTGCTCAAAACTTACATAGTGTCCTATGGTACTGGCATAAGTGTCGGCAATCCAGGACATCTCCCTCTCCCCTGTGCTCATATCAGGAGCGGGCACATCCACACCAGGCCCTGTTGGCAACAGTGCAAACAGCTTTTGAGGGTCCAACATGAATAGTTATCTTCGAACATTATTCCCTTGGGAACTGTGCAGGCCTTGGCAGAGGAGAACTGTTTTCCTGTTTAATCCTCAGTTTATTATGCAAGCAACATATTCTTCTGGATTCAATTCAGGTTTAGATACTGCATCACACATTTCTACAATGCTGTCAAAGCCTCCAACCTTTCACATAAGCCACTCGATAAGATGAAGGTCAGTTTGTCAATAAAAAGTCAGAGCAAGACTTTTGCTGAAATAATAACAAATTCACTCCGTTTTTTCTAGATAACTAAACCCAGTATTTGCCCATGCTATTTAAGATCAGACAGACTTGCTCAGTAAGATTTTAAACACAGCTCTGCCTCTGTAATTTTTTCCTAAGTATTTTTAAAAGGTTTGTGAAAGTTGTGTAGCCCCAACCATAGAGCCAAAAAAAGAAGACAAATTTAATCAAACCATTTTAATTGTCACTGAACTAGCAAACACTATAGCTGGTATAGTGTATAGCATTACCTTAGTCACATCGGTAAGTGTGTTTATAAAGAAGCTTAATTTTAATGATAAGCACTCAGGCTGGAAAAGCAAATGACAAACACTCTAGCTGAAGAGCAAGAAAATGCAGATAAATGGATATACATTCCTGGGGCAGTTAGACATCAGGAATACATGGCAGACTAGTTACATGCCTCATTGTTCATTTAAGTAAGAACCTCCTTCATGTAAAGCTCCGCCCTTTAATTACAAGTCGAGCTAGTAACATTCAGCTTTCTCCAGAGACTTCCAGATAGCAGCTCCAGACAGCAAGGTATCAGGACAGCTCAGGGCTGAGAGTCTGAATGAAGCACCTACTAACATTACAGAAGCTGAGGTTCTGTTACAACAGGCTCCCATGCTGCTTGCCTACGCTCCCCTTGCAGCCTGTGGTTGCCATGGGTGAAGCCATCAACTTTTGCTGGGGTGGATCTTCTATTTCCTTCCTCTCTTTCCTCAGATATCTGCCAAAAGCCTCAACTGAGACTACAGGAAACAGTAACAGTAAAGAGTTTGCTATTAGAGATTAAAATTGCCACAAACATGGTCACAATTTTATAATTTAAGAGAAATGTGATTCATTTTGGAAACTGTGACCTCAGCTTTTGCGGCCTCTCGTAGCAGAACAGCCACTAGGAAAAAAGTTAAAGACAGTTCTCTTTAAAATGCACTAAGATGCAATGTCTCAATTCTTTGTGGCTCTTTGCTGGAAGTTCTGTGCCCAAATTGTTTCCAGCTCTCAAAAATACTGTTCTTTAAGGACACTACCTAGCGGACGCTGACAATGCAAAATACATCAGGTTCCTAAATTTGCATAGTAAAGCTGCCCAACATACCAATAAATCCCTTTTTTGCCAGCTCCATGGTAAACCTTCTCGTGATCTTTTCCAATTCATTGTCCTATAGAGAAAATGCAATAAACATCAGAGGAAAATATTAGTGTTTATGAGTATTTGCTAGAACTCAGCCCAAGCATAAACAGACACCCTCTTCCTTTAGAAGAAAGAATGATTCATAATTTATATAATTTATATGCCACTCCCTAACAGACTGTTGGTATTCAGGCAGCACAAGAAACACTCGGCTTTCTTTCCATACATTCTGATCCATGACAAGTCGGGAGCGTGGCACGGGAAGAACCACCTGGGCTTGCAGCGGAGGTTTCCAGCAAACAAATCTGATATCCTGTGTGAGCAACTTACAACCAGCAGCAGCAGTAGCTGGGCTGCCAGTTGTGTAATCAACACAGCTGACTGACTTCACCCAAACCCTTACAGGAGCTCTGAGCTTAGGATATCTGTTCCGTGTTCTAGTGTCCCTCTCTCTACGAGTTATTTTAATTAGGGTAAGAAGGCAAGACTGCAGTAAACCTTTCATAAGCCAAGTTAGTTATTATTCACACTGGAACACTGCATACGATGGTTTAATGGAGCATAAAACTATTTATCAAAATAAACAAAAACATTAACTTTTTTCCTAAGAATAATTTAATTTAAGCTTTTATTAACAGTATTGACTTCAAAAAAAATTCAGGTTCAAAATTATTTGTAGTTTCCTGACATCCAGGAAAAAATTTGAAAATTAAATAATTGAAGTATTCCACCTCTGAAACACAGACATTTTAAAAATTCTTTTCCCACCTATTGCATGCACGGGCTAAATTCAGCATAGGCAGAAGTGGCAAGAAGTTTTAAGTGGTCAATAATGCCCTTAGAAGAGCTTTTTTAACTGGCTGGCTTCAGTACTGCAGATAACCAAATTTTTATCTATGATTTGGCTTACTGTGTAGTTCTTGGGATTGATCTTGACACCAGCCTTTGCCCCACCAAATGGCACATCTACAAGAATGCAAAGGAAAATCATTTTATTTTTTCAACAATAAAGGCAGAACACATAAGTAATATGTGTAATTCTATCTTTGATTTTGGCAGTGATTTTGGTTTTGCCACATTTAAGGCTTCTCAAGTGTAAACTAAAATCTGATCTAGGTACTCTTGTAAAAATGGGAGATATTTCAAGGCAGTTTGAAAATGGTCTCTGAAACTCTGAAGTTCATGATTTAAATTTTCTATGCTTCAATCTCTTGTCCCTGGCACTTGTAGAAACAGTAAGTTTTATGATTTATATTTTACTGGATGAGCTCAAACACTTTACTCTGGAAGTCCTATGTGTCTTTATATACATTAAGAAAGTATTTTCTTTCCTTACACATAATGTGCAGGTTCTCTCCAAACTCCTCTACAATTTAGTAGCTGTGTATGAATTGTACTTCTTCATAACCCATAAAGGAATTTTATCCTTCTTTCTCCACAGCTCCCCTGCCTGAATCCTTTACAGCCTCCATCTGTTCCCCCTAAAATTAGTCCTCTATTAATCCAAGTTTGTCATACTTGGATTTGAGTTCAAGATTCAGTTCTTTTATGGGAGAGGGTAGCTGGCAGAATTCGGACTTTCCAAATGAAAATGCAACTTTATTTAAGTATCTACAGTAACAGTAGAGGGAATATGTATTATTATTTTGGTAACTGTATGTTTTCCCCACCTTGCTACAGATTTTAGTTAAAGATTAAAATTCAGTTTAGTCTTTTAGATTTTTTTTCCCCCCCGTAAATTACATCAGTACTGACTGAAATTGAAGACTGAAATCTTGCTTGAAAAACAAACACTTACCAACCACAGCACATTTATACGTCATGAGAGATGCTAAGGCTTTCACTTCATCCACACTGACATCCATACTGTAACGAATACCTGCAAAAGACACATGAGAAAAAACAGGAATTCACTGAGCAACTTCACAGGTATTTAAAAATCGGGAAGGATAATTCTACATCGACCATCTATAACATGCAAGTATGTAATTTATCAATTTACTTGCTTTAAGATTTGGAGAACAAGTCCCTGTTACCTTACTTAAATATCTATCTTTTACTCAGCAGAAATGCAGGATTCCAGTAATTCCCTATTGAGTAGCTTAACAGCAGCATTTAGTCTTCGGGAAAAAAGTGAATATTCCTAGTGAGGAAGACAAGTCAAGCTGACAGGTAACTAGAAGTAGAGTTTTCAAGAGGCTGATAAAGCTCTTCAGCATTCCATAAGATCTTTAGCTGTGGGCTTCATTCATTGTATATACAAGATGAACTTTGTTCCTGAACATCAGCACAGGTTACAATCAAGGTCTTTTTGCTGGAGTAATACGAGCTCCTGTTATAAGGCTTGGTTTCAAGGCTCTGGCTGCTAGACACAGCCATGTAACAAAAAGCAACAAGCCACTCTGCTAATTCAATTTTTTTCAAAAAATTTTGAGAGAATAACTCCAGCCCACCAAGCTTGTATGACCAGGCCATCCATCCCACATCCACATGGAAGCCAGCCCATACCTGCGTTCCCTACTCCATGTAATTCAGCAGAGCTGCAAGTGTGTGCTGACACATGGTGCCAAGTGCAAATTCAAATTGTTGTGGGCTGATAGCAGCTCAGATGCAAAATGGGTGATCCCAGCACTCAAGAAAATTTAAAACTGAGTTGAAAAACACAAAGGCAAGGAGATCTTTCACCTGCCCAACGCTTGGGTTGTAGTTGTCCAATAAATTGATTGAACTCAGTTAAAATTCATGTATTCTGAAGGTAGTTGCAGAGTAGAAAATTACTTAACCCAACTGACTGGACACATAGACAGAACTCCAGAAGCCTAAACATGACATTTAAGATCAACACAGTGCCCAAAGTCATGTGGCCAAAGCAAAAAAGCCCCTACAGCTGTATGTTTGTTTCTATTCAAGTTTTTCCTACATAACTAAGCATGTAACAGAGCCATGAATAATTTATTATCCCCATCTCTACTCCCCAAATCCTTGGCTGCAGGTTGTGCCAAGCTGCACGGTGGTTTGTAGTGGGCACAGAGTGTCCTTTAGATGGCACCACAAATTTCCTATTATGTAAAGAGAAGACTATATTCAGGTCCTTAGGAGTGAAAAAAGGCCAGCATACATTATCTAAACTAAAGTGCTGCTATGAAAGCCATTCCTGAATGCTCTGGAAACAATCCCAGTTTCAAAGGAACTGAGTGCTGCTCAAATAAAGCTGAGGGCCAAGTGCTGCTTTCTTATGTGAGTTCAATCAGTAAAAGAAAGTACCATGCCTCTGCAGAACAGAATTTAAATTTGCTGTGTATATGGGGGAAGGGTGGTCTCCAAAAGCAACACTGCCAACTTGGGTAGCTGCAATCACCTCACAGGAAGTAATGTTCAAAATTTAAGTGGAATCTATCAGAGCCCTACAGACCAGTCAAAGTTACAACATACAAGGGTTTCTTTTTAACATGTCTTACTCTGATCCTTCAGAGGAGCAGTTATCCTTCTGTCAAGCTCCAAGCAAGAACACCACCACCTACACCACTGACTGTCCTGTCTGAGGAAATCATTCTCTCTTGGTTGAGCAGGTACTCTGGCCACAGGTCTCATTAGAGTATTGCTCAAGCCAACCAAGTTTGAAGTCATGGTCTGTGCTGGCCAGAAATGAACTCTGCCCCTCCACCCCCAGCTGAACTAGATCACTGTGTATTTATTCAACCCATATACTTATTTAAATTTCCAAGGTGTGTATACAAAGCAGTTTTGCTATAAATGTACTCCTGTAGGCACACAAAATGTTGTTTATTGATATATGGAAAGTAGCAGGGAAACTAAATAGTTAGGGATAGTCATCTTGTATAGTTCAAAGACAGGAGAAAATTAGAAAAGGAGAGGGAAGCCTCTTCTGCACATCATATGGAAGATAGCATCTGAAGAGGTAAACAAGCAGCAGTTTAACCAGAACACTCAAACACATGTAAACAGTTAGATCTCTGGTTTCCTTTTATTACAGTCAAGGATTACTATTAACTTTAATGTAATAAATGTAACTTTCATACCAAGGGAAACAGGGAGAAAGCCCCAGGACTAACTAAGTACTGATAGGCTTTCAACTGAGCTGCCTATTTGTCAGCCACACCAGAATAAGGCAAACTTTTATACTTGAGACTGAAACTGTCCTTTTCTGGACAACTTGACATTTCTGAGCAAGATTTAACTTCTTTTCCAGGCTTTTAAACAGTTGTAATTGAAGTGGCTTGACTGGTGGCTTTATCTTGGTAAGTGGGAGACTAGTCAATTCTGAGAGTTGTGCTGACTTCACTGGTAACTCTTCTCTAGTTTATTTGGTAGAATCATTCACTACAGTGTCAGGTGAAGTTCATGGTGTAGGTCCCAGGTCCCCAACAGGTATGAGTTTTTCCCTGCGGTGGCAGGAGCACATAATGCTTCAAATGCACTCATATTTAGCCATTTACTGTTTTCCGGGAGTTGTAATTACTCTACAGGAGGCCCACCTCTTGACAGGGAAGTTATTTGTGCTAAGCTGTTAAGACTGATGAGAAGCAGGCATCTGAGAATGCTGTACATTCCATCTGCAAGCGGATGCACAAAGATAAAAGACTTACTTAATTTCTATTCTATTTGGACATCATTGAAATTTAGTTTGACAGCTTCCTAATTTGGCAAGAGGAGAGTATTGCCATGCATTTTTATGGCTCTTTTGGCAGTGTTACTATGCATTCAATAGCCTGAGTCTAAAAATGGACCATATACAGAGATAAAATACTGGGTTTGTTTTTTTTTAAGGTTACTACATAAAAGCATGAAAGTTACTGTTAGGCAGCAAGATAATTTTTTTAAACCCTGGCAAGTCCCACACAGTAAGCCTCGGGAAACTTGTGGCTTTTACAGCAAACTAGCTACAGAAAAAATAGTTTGAAGAAAGCCTCAAGTTACAATATGACTCACTGCCATGGAAAATACTTTTCACTGGAAAACATACAAATTCTTGTTCTAGTTGAGAATTCTCTTTCCTTGCCACACCCCAAGAAGTTAAACAGCATGCTAAGAGAGACTTTGTTTTTCTACGCACAAAAGTTTCTAGAGGAGGAAATGTTTTCATTTTAATTTTGCTTTAGTATTGGTCAGTCTCTAAAGAGAAGGATTTATTATCACATTGTTGTGCTTACACTTTTAAAACTTCTTTATGATTTGTATTTTGGAAGATATTATACTTCACTCAGTTACTTTTTACACTGAGCCCAATAATAGTTTCCTCATGATTTTAGATTCTTAGATAATGCTATGGATTAATTTTCACTTTTCCAAATGGAGGTAGAAAGCACTTGAAAGACAGTGTTCTTTTTAAATACATGTGAAAGTAGTAATTATCAGTAAGACTGTATTTTGGATTAGCAGCAGTTGGTCATCATTTGGATCAGCAGGTTTATAGTAAGGATTTTACTAACATGCACATAACAAAGACCTTGATTTCCAAGAAAATTGGTTACGCATCCTTCTACATTTTACACTGTACAGATTTCAGTGTGTTCTGTGATGTTCAGCGTGATTATTATGCTTTCTTAGAAAACCCGATGTACAGAACTACCAACCTTTTAAGGATGACTACTGCCTTTTTAGTATGCCTACAAATCTACATTTAGGGAAGTGAGTTAGCTATTTCCTGATCTTCTAGTGCAGTGATCTTAAATGGTAGTACCTACGTATGCCCTGACCACTAATGAGCATGAAGTATTCAAAGTCTCAAAAACTAGAGTTGCCATAGTAACAGTTCAGAGCAAAACCCTTGGTAAACTACTCCTCCTGCACTAAATTATCTTGCAAATCTTAGCAAGTCTCTCAAGTCCCCCAGAACCTTGAACACATTTGCACCTCAGCCTAAATTATTAATATCTAACCAGGGTGTCGTCCTGCTTTGACTTCAGTGTTTTCTTCTAGCTGTGCTGATCTTGTGAACTTTGGAACTAATTTGGGTCCTTTACAGATGACAATTCTTGTTAGGATGGTGCATTTGTTCAGCTCACGTTTATTTGCAAAGGGCTCGCTCATCAAAAGCAGCCCTCCAGAGCAGCAGCTATCCTACACCACCCATACAGCACTCAGCAAAACAGATTTCATGATCTCCTTTGAAAGTTTTTAGGACTGATTAAAGCCATACTAATCTCCCAATTAGTAACATTGGATTCTGTGATGGCTCTGTGCATTAACAGCTTGCCTGACTCTGTCCAAAGGCTGCAGTATAAGTCTAGAGCACAAGGAACTTCAGTAAAGATGCTTGCCTCATTCAAACTACACAAAATCCACAAATCAGTCCCAGCATTTACTGCAGTGCCTTAGTTACTTAATGTTTTACCACTGGATTATGTATAACATTTTCATGTTTGG